CCCACACCTTTATACTTATTTAAAATCCGACGGTTGAATTTTTTCCTCTATGTCTTAAGAGTATATAGCAGAAGCTCGAAGGCGATTGGTGAAAAGGGCGATGGAGCATCACTCTCCAAACAACGTGTGTGAAAACCACTAAATCGCGCACTTGGACCAAAATGGCCGACTTCCTGTGCGACTTTGCACTTGGCTCCAAGAGACTTTTTTGTAGGTCCTGAGACACCACATTAGTGTACCAAATTTCGTAATCCTCAGTCAAAGCATGGCTTGGGGCTGACAGTTTTAATGGTCCTAGGGGGCGCTAATACAGAAAATAGGCCACGCCCACAAACTTAAGCTGACCTTTTCTATTGGGGGTCAGACTAGGATCACTCACAACAATGGTCGAGGTGATATCACGATAAATGAAGAAATGAGAGGCAAACGTATTTCCATGGCGTGATGGCGAATTTCGCCATGCTCCCAAAGCCCCGCCTTTTTGCAAAACCTTCCAGTACTGGAGACCAAGTGACCTCAACTTGCCTGCTGCTATTTACCAGAGATTCCTGGTGATTGGGTAAAAGGAGTCCAATAAGGAGCTGTGAAAAAAAGAGTGGCGTGGCGAAAGGTCAAAGTTTGAGGCTTAGCCACGCCCACACCTTTATACTTATTTAAAATCCGACGGTTGAATTTTTTCCTCTATGTCTTAAGACTATATAGCAGAAGTTTGAAAGTGATTGGTGAAAAGGGCGACGGAGTATCACCATCCAAACAACGTGTGTGAAAACCACTAAATCGCGCACTTGGACCAAAATGGCCGACTTCCTGTGCGACTTTGCACTTGGCTTCAAGAGACTTTTTTGTAGGTCCTGAGACACCACATTAGTGTACCAAATTTCGTAATCCTCAGTCAAAGCATGGCTTGGGGCTGACAGTTTTAATGGTCCTAGGGGGCGCTATTTCAGAAAATAGGCCACGCCCACCAGATGTTCACATCAGATCTTTTGGGGGGCCGGACTAGGATCACTCACAAGAAGTTTCGTGACGATATCTTTGGAAATGACGAAATGGGAGGCAAACGTAAGGCCATGGCGGTACGCCTGAATTCGCCGCGCCGCCACAGCCCCGCCCTCTGCCGAAAACTCCCATAAAGTGACGCCAAGCAACCCCCACTTGTCTTGAGTTACCAGCTACAAATTTGTGGTGATTAAGTGAAATGGGGCAATTTGGGACCTTTCACAGTAAAACTTGATCTTTTTGGTCCTGAGGGGGCGGGGCTTGTGTGATGTCATCATCCGACCATTCAATTTACTTTGGGGGTGGATGACGAATGACCACAGAAAGTTTGGTAACTCTATTCCATTCAGTTATGAAGTTATAGCAATTTAAATATTTTTGGCGAGTAGTCAAACTTCGAGGCCTGGCTCCGCCCCTTCAACATATACGAAAACTCAGAATCCTTATCTCATTTTGTTCGCCCATCCCTTCTGAGCAATTTTACACAATTTTTGAGACGATCGTGCGAAAAATGATCGAGCAATCCAATCAGAAACGGACCCTAAAAACGGCAAAAACGGCAAAAAATCGCCATTTCAACCCAAAATGGCCGACTTCCTGTTTGATATTGACCATGGTTGCAAGAGACTTTTCTGTGCGGACTGTTGAGTACTACAAGTGTACCAAATTTCATAACTGTACGATAAACTAAGCTTTATGGAGAGGGGTTTTTTTCACTTTGTAGGGGGCGCTGTTCAGCCATTTTCTTTGCGATTTTTTTGGGACCTTTAAAATATCAAATTTTTCACCAGGCCTGACAAGTGTGCAAAATATTGTGAGTTTTGGGGTATGTTAAGGTCCCCAAAAAGCTGTTCAAAGGGGGCACGGAATAACAAAAAATAATAATAATCAGAGCAAAAACAAGAGGCCTTCGCAGCGCTTTCGCTGCTCGGGCCTAATTAAAGCTGCAAGCAGCGTCGTTCGGCCCTCGCAGCGAAGCTGCTCGCCCTCCGTCCGCATCCCCTCCGCTTCATCACGACTCTCTCCAAACCCAGCTCCGCACCGCTCCGTCCTGGCCGGTAGTCAAGGGCATGTCTGTGGAACAGAAACGTTGACCACCTCGACACCAGAAACCGCCAACGGTCACCTCGTCCGCACCTGACTCAGCATCCCCTCTGAGGCCACCATTATATTACACGTCTCACCACTAGGGCATACTCAGAGTATCCCTTATCACAGGTGTGGAGGTAAATGGTAAATGGCCTGTATTTGATATAGCGCCTTCTAGAGTCCTGGAACCCCCCAAGGCGCTTTACAACACAATCAGTCATTCACCCATTCACACACTGGTGGGGATGAGCTACGATGCAGCCACAGCTGCCCTGGGGCACACTGACAGAGGCGAGGCTGCCGAGCACTGGCGCCACCGGTCCCTCCGACCACCACCAGCAGGCAATGTGGGTTAAGTGTCTTGCCCAAGGACACAACGACAGCGACAGACTGAGCGGGGCTCGAACCTGCAACCTTCCGATTGCGAGGCGAGCACTTAACTCCTGTGCCACCGTCGCCCTTGTACATGCAACATGTGTGACAAAGGCACAGCAATCAATTTCTAACTCTTTTACAGAAGATCATTTTGCTGTTCACATGACGTTTCTTCTTAAATTGAAGGCAGACCTACAAGCTTTTCTTCAAGGCTGGAACAACCATCCTCTTAGAACAGAAGGAAACCAAACTCCTGAGCAGCTATGGTACACAGGAATGATGTGGCACCCGACCCAGCAGCCAGAGTAAGTTGAGGTGCATTTCTTTTTAATTCATTCAAAATAAAAAGGAATGAGTCCTAAGTGAACAGCATCAAATGTGAAACAAATTAAAGTATTTGGAATGAATGTTAAAGTTCATTTGCTTAAATGGATCAGCTGGTAAAATAGCTTGAAAAGTTTGGTAATCCACATAAGGTTTAAACAAGTCAATATTGGCTAATAACTGTGATGCAATAAGGGAATGATAATAATTGTGGTGTTTAAATTTGTTTGGTCCACTTATCAGGATATTCAAGAGCCGGACATTGACTGGGATGTGGCAGCTGAATATGGAGTAGTTGCGGACGTTGTGATTGTGATTCCAGAATTTGACAGTCCACTGAAAGAACAGCAGGTAGCAGCGCTTCAGTTGCTGATTGATGAAAATATTGGACATACGAACACTACAAACTTGGGGTTGTATGAACTAGTCGATTTCACTGCTCTGTAGTGACTTTTCATGTTTGTCATCGAGTAGTCTCTTCCTAAAGACAGCAGGTGACAAGCCCCTGCTCATCGGGAGGTACCGCGCTGTGCCAGAGTGTCTTTATTGACACCCGCGGTAAAACGGACATTGAACCAACATAAACTCCTCAAAACTTTTAAATAAAATGCCTGTGAGACCCTTTGATGTGGACATCATTTTTACAGTACAGACGCTCTTCCTTTTGTATTTTTTGTGTCCCTGAGTCACCTGTCCACAGATCATGCACACAGGGTTGTTTTGCACCCTGGATTTATTTCCCTCCCCAAAGAAGGAAAGCTCCTGTTTACACTTGTAAAGCGTGTCCCTGGACCATGATGGGGATGGAGACGAGGTAGCAGTGGCCTCAGGAAACACCAGACTGGCAGAAGGCTGGAGCGACGCAGGGCTGGAGCTGGACTGAACAGAGACCGCTTAGGCACAATGGGCCTGACTGTGTGCCAAGGGGTTTCAGATAGCGTAGAGGTGGAAGAGGCTACAACTGTTTCACAACTCACAGGAGTCTGTTTTCTAGGCTGTAGCAGAGACTGAGGTTGAAATTGAGGCTTCACCTGGGGCTGAAGCTGTGGCTGAGTAGCAGCAGGCCGAGAGACTGGCATCGCAAGGTCCGTCCTGTTCCTTAAAACCTTGTCCAGGACATCAGCAGAAAAGCCAGCAGAGGGACCAGGAGGAGTAGTGGAGCCAGAAGAAGCAGCTATCGGACCAGCAGGGGATTCAGAAGCAGAGGGATCAGCAGGAGCAGGAGAACCAACAGCCGCTGTAGAGCAGGAGCCTTTGGCGACGTCCTGGTCGCTGCAGCTCCTATTGTTGGTTGCTTTGAGATGAGGGAGTCTAAAAAGACCACAAAAAATTTGTAGTGTGCGTTGTTTAAGCTTGGAAGGTGCAAATTAGATTTGTTCTGCCCCATACCTTCCACAGATTTACAAGCAGCCACCATCTCTGCATCATCATCCAGCCACGACAGAGGGTGTCTCTGGGAGGGGCGTGATTCTTCCTGCTGAGCAAACAGGAAAAGCATCAATTAAAGACTTAGTTAACTTGAAAATTTTACTAATTATGTTTAAGGCTAGAAATAATTTACTGCCAACTAATCTACAAAGGTTCTTTGTTTTGTTCCCAAAAAATGATAAGAGTAGAAAGAAACCAGAGTTTAAAAGGATATTTGTTCGTACTACATTAAAGCAAATGTGTATGTTAACATATGGTGTGAAATTATGGAATAACCTGGATGATGAATTAAAAAAATGTACAAGTACTGGTCAATTAAAAAAAATGTATAAAGATAAAAGGCTAAAATCGTATGATTTGGTGGGTTTAGGATGGAGGATTAATGTTTTAGTAGTGATATTATTTGTGGAAGTAAGAGAGCGGTTTATTTTTTGTGTATAAGGCTATTTTGTACTTTTTGTTATTTATCTTGTCTTAGTTAAAGGGGGTAGGTCATATAAGATTTTTTCTTCTTCCTCCCCCTATTTCACTCGAATGCTTATATTCTAATTTGAAGTTTGTATATTTAAACTTTGAGTGAAATAAATTATTGAATTGAATAAACAGGGAGCCCAGTGTGCGCCCCCCAGTGGAGGGTTAAGGTATTTATATTGTGCCGTATCACACACCATGGTTGGAGGAAGACGAAGTAGTTCTTGCTGAAAACGCTGAAAAGTAGCGGGGGCGTTCCTCAAACCGAACGGCAACACGGTGTACTGGAGCAGGTTATCTGGAGTGACGAAAGCAGACACTTTAGATGCAAATGGAGTTAGCGGCACCTGCCAATAGGCTTTTAGAAGATCTAGTTTAGTAACAAATGTAGCTGAACCCACACTATCCACACAATCCTCTACACGAGGCAAAGGAAACGAATCTGGGACGGTTTTTGCATTTAACTTGCGGTAGTCAGTAACAAACCTATATGAGCCATCAGGTTTATTTTCCAGTAAACATGGTGAGCTCAAGGAAGTGGTGCTGGGCTTTGCTAGGCCATGTTCTAATAGATAAGTTACTTCCTTTCTCATTAGTTCCCTCTTCATCGGACTAGCCCTGTAAGGGTGCATATGAACGGGGACGGAATCAGTAAGGCTGATGTCATGAGTTATTAGGTGGGTCTGACTGGACACGTCTGAAAATAGTTCCGGAAAAGAGTGAATTAGATGAGAAAGCTCCTCCTGTTGCGAAGAGGTGAGGTGACCCAAACTGGACGACAGGTTGGAGAGCTTCGGAGTTGCAGAGACGTGGGGTGACAGGGGGCAGCAAACTCCACGCCACAGCATCATCTTGCACAGTATCAGGCAGTGGGGGAGAAACCTCTGCAGAGACTAAACAAGGCTGAGTCACAGCGGTAGCACGTTCATGAAATAGCTTCAAACGATTCACATGGCAAGTCATGGTTTTCTTTCTCATTAGAGGAGTTCTGATCACATAATTGGATTCACTGAACTTGGAGAGAACCTCAAAAAGCTGCAGCCAGGGAGAGAGAGGTGTCGGCGCGCTAGGATGATGTCGACGCCAAAACAACCAAAACAAAGTGGAGACTCACCTCTCACATCAGGAAGAATCTGCGTGTTTCGAGCGTTATCTGTTCTTTCATAATCCGTTGTTGAATTGTGATCGGCAGAAGCTTTTCTGGTTCGCGCCTCACTTTTTACAGCAGCGGCCCACGTCAAGACGTCGTTTCTGTTACTGATAAGGAAATGCGTGCGTTAAGCAGCGCGGTCTGTAGAAGCTGTCATCAGCTGATCAGGAGCTGCTAGAGGTAGATGTTTTCATCCAAGAGCATCACGGCCCATGAAGAACGAGGAAGACGTGATGAATATCTACGGCTGCAGACCCGCCGCAGATTTGCTGCTGTAGGTGGGAATCTGCAGCAGTGAATCTGCGGGTCTGCAGCCGTGCCCTTCTTGGCGTGACAGCGGGACGTCCCGAAGGTCCGCTCACCTGTTCACCGCTCAGACGTCCTGATCTTTTGCCTTCCTAGATCATCCAGCTGTAACCTGTTCCTGATCATGTCTTTAGCCCCGCTGTAACACTGATGCATCAGTCTCAAACGACATGGAGCTCAGGTGTTATTAGAACCTGTGTGTGTTTACCACCCAGCTTCAGCTCTTCTGTGGTTGGGTCTGACCCACGTTAGTACATTTAAGTCCTCCATCAGGCTTGTGCCTCTTCTAGTGTCATTTTAAAGGATTTTATTTATTTATTTAACCGTTACTAGATTAGCAGCAACAGAAATGCTGCTAAAAACACACAATTATGTGAAGCTGGAAGAATTAGAATACTGTGCAAAATTACATTTATTTCTGTAATTTAACTAGATCGAGATACAATTTAAAGGCTCGGGAACCTTTACAGGTGTTTCTATTTGCAATTTTAAATTTTAGCTGATTGGGGTCTTGTTAAATATCACACAGAGACCTTTTAATAGTCTAGATTAGTGTAATGTTCCTGTTAGTAGTTCTTCCTGTGAAGTGCTTATTTATTGAAATTATTCAGGTTTATAAAAAACATTTGGACATACATTTTATTATGTTCCAGTCATTAGTCATTTATATTTCACTATTGTAGTAATTCTTGCATTCTTTAATGAAAAAAGTAACTAAGTAGTTATTTTTGTTGGTAATCAGTTACTTTTATGATCTTGTAACTGAGTTACTTTTTTGACAAAGTAATCAGTAACTATAACTAATTACTTTTTTAAAGTAACGTTCCCAACACTGATTAACGCACAGGCCAGAGTTTCATCTGCCCGTGTTAGGAGAACGGGACCTGCTCTAGCTGTGAGAATGCCGTGTGTGTGCGCTCACCATGATGACCAGTAGAATATTCTGGAAGTCATTTCTGAATCCCAGTGTGGAGCTGCAGAACAGAGCAAAGTTTCCTTCCAGGAGTTGCAGGGTAAAAAATAGGCTTGCTCAGTCAAACTGCACACGCACGCACATAAATCATTTTTGTTCCGTGAGGATTTATTCCACACTCACCATGAAACCCAGTGAGGTAAAGAGGAAGACTACGACCAGTTTGGCGTATGGTCCGTGTCCCATCACGAGCCTGATTCCTTGAAAAAAGGCATGGGCTGTGACCAGACCTGGGAATGCTCTAAAAACAGAAAATAAACCAGAAACAGTCAGAACACCACCTGATACCTGTACAAGTCTCTAGAAGCATGTTGCTTTGATTCCTCGCAACATCTTTCACCTAGTCAGCTGACTTTCATGCTTTTCCTTATTGCCTTTAGATTTGACCACAGCTTTGGCTTGATCACACGGCCCGTATTGCTCAGCTACAACTGTCTCGTTATTGGTCACAGTCAAGCCCCTTCATCACATCACATCACTGTTTTTCATGGAACTTGAAATCAGATTTACAAAATAATGGATCATGCAAAATCATAAGATCTGGTGTAATTCGATATGAATGACTGACCTAAAAAATGAACAGATTTCAGATGAATATGTAAAACCAACAGAGTTGGTGCCATTTTTGTGTTTGCTGATGAAACTTATCTGTGGTAGCCATCTTTTGCCAAGTTAGAGCTAAAAGCTAGTCTGAGCTAACCGCTAGTTTGAAACAAAAGCTAGTCTTAGTCTGAGCCAAACGCTAGTCTGAGCAAACCGCTAGTCTGAGCCAAAAGCTAGTCTTAGTCTGAGCCAAACGCTAGTCTGGGCTAAGTGCTAGTCTGAGCCAAAAGCTAGTCTGAGCTAACCGCTAGTCTGAGCTAACAGCTATGCATCCTCGAACAATTCTCCGGACATCGTTTACTGCAAATCGTGATAATCTCAACAAACATTAGTCAGCTAGCAAGTAGCTAGTTTTTGCTAGCTTTAGCTTTAACATCGATTGACTAACCTTATGCCGGCTTCTTCTCCTGGACTGTCTGGAAGTGAGGGGGCGGCCTCTGTAAAACACGGGAATCGGAGACGAATGTGACGTTGCTGTGTCGTTAAAGAAACTTATTGGTTTATTTTGAATTTTCCGATTTTGCCTTACTGATTGGAGGATTAGCGCATTGTGTTTTCTAAAGACTTCAACCTTATTGGGAGATATTTTTCCACGTGATGTATTCTATCCCACTGATTGGCTCAAGTTCGGGTATAAATTTTTCAATCTAACTGCCACTCACGTCTTTGAACAAGACTCGTTTCAGTGCGCACTGCGTAGGCTTGCTTGGGGTTTTGCCTTCTTTTTAGCGTTGTAAAGCAGCATTTTGGAGAATATTTCATTCGTGCTTATTGTTATCTGTCGTTTGTTTGTTTGTTTTTAAGCAATATTAGCTGTATTCAGCTGGCGTGTTCACTTCTTATTATGGTAAGTAATACTTCAATATTTGCTGTGTCGATTTTTACGCAAGCAGCTTCATTATTCTTGTGATATAATTTGGAAAAGAGTAAAGTAGTTTTGTTGAATCTGCAGCATGAGTGAGTGTCCATGTGGCACGTGATGTAACATTTAACGGAAAGACACGAAGGGGGGGTGGACTCGCGCTGCGGCGAACCGGTTCCGCCGTTACATTCCCGCAGAAACTGGTTGATCACACCGGGACCAGAGTCGAGTCTCAGACATTGGGGTTTTACAACCACAATGTCCTAGGAAGCGAAAACGCTTTTAAAAGGGAGGGAGGAGTCCTAACTGTTGCTGCAGGCTGTAACGGGGTGACTCGAGCTGGGCGAGAGTTTGGAGGTGGCGTGGCTTTTAACCCAAGCGCGGAGTGACTGACGCCGGGTTGAATGGACACGCTGTTCAGGGAGCCGAGTGCGCAGCTGAACACGGCGAGTCCTGGTCTGAGGCTGGTCTCTAAGAACAGGCAGGATTCTTAGATCTAGCTGGTCTTATCTGAACAGGCTTCGTGATCTGAGACAATCTGGTTTGGACTCTGGGTTAGGTTCGGTTCGAACGATGACTTTGGTTTTATGCTTGACGCATTCACTTTCCGCGCGGTGATGCGGCTCGCGGATGGAACGTGCTTCACAAATCTCAGTGTTTATAGTTTGTGCGGCTTGTCTCTGCGGTGAGCCAATATTCTCCCAAACTGAACGGGGCAGCATGGAGCTGTACAGCATGCATTCAACACAACACCATAGTAGAAGTAGAACTTACTGTTTACAACATGGCATTTCAGCATTTTAAACAGCGTTCTCGTCTTATCCGACAGTACGAGCTATTTTTCTCCAAGAACTATTAACAACATGTTGATCACGGTGACCTCTGAGAGCTGAATCATACTAATGTCTATTTACGAACCTCTGCCATAGTAGTTCTTGCTGGTCCGCCATGTTTTTCCGCGTGGTTAGAAATTTTCCGAGGTGCGCGTTGCGGAAATTCTGGGCCGTGCGGAGGCGCGGTGGAGGGGCGTGGTTGTTAAAATGACGAAACTTTTCCGCGCGGAGCCGTGCGGACCTCGCACCTGGTTGGTTAAGCTTGATGGTTGATGCCGACGTGAGTCGGTGTTGTGCGGCACTTCCTTAAATAGATTTGGCGGGTGACGTGAACCGGAAGCCTGGCGCTGGGGATGTTGGGTAATGGAGTTTGAGCGGCTCTGCGGTGCCTCCCTAGAGGAGGTTGACAGCTGAGAGGGAGGTTGCGTGAGTGACACAGGCGTGTTGTGTGAGAGTGCAGTTATTTACTGGTTAATAGGGCTGCTCGATTATGGCAAAAATAATAATCACGATTATGGTGACTGAAATTGAGATCACGATTATTTAGGACGATTTTTCAATTTATGTTGATTTTATTTGTTTTTATTCAGTCATAAAATTGCTCAGGGCACAATCAGGACAAAAATAATAAACTAGATGATCACTAAAATAACTCCTGATTCCCAGTATAAAAAGACCAATATACTTCTAGCTCACAGTCTATGACCCAAGGGCTATAGACCTTGGTTTAACTCATTTAAGTCTAACCAGTACAGACCCAAATACCATTACCTTGCAAATACTGACAGCAAGAATTATACAGTGACATTCATAACAAATAAATGCAAAGAAATTGATGTTCACAAAATGTTGCATAACATTGAGTCGTGTCAAGGTGCTGTAGGAGAGTGCACAAGCACCGTGTCCTCAGAGAGATTAGTTATTATTTATCAGCGTGAGGAACTTATTTCTACCTTATTTATAAACTATTTATTTACAGGTCCATCAGTTAATGTAATAATTGTCCCAACCACAGCTGCACCCCCCAACCCGGTCTCACAGCAATCGGGGCAAGCTGCACGTGTGTTTAGCGCGCCGCACACGCACATTTAGTCATTTTTAGTGGCTCAGGAGTCCGCAGGTGCGGTGTGTGTGTCACTCACTCTGGTTAATCCAACAGGGAGCAAATAATCGGCTTGTTTTGTTTTTTTATAATCGTTCAAAACTCAGATCGTAATCGTGATTAAAATTCGATTAATTGAGCAGCCCTACTGGTTAATATATTTTTGGGTTCAGTTGCTTTCATGTGGCCTAATGTGAGTCGATTTGGGATCGTTGGAATGATCAGCAGCATTTTTTGATGTGACTTATGGCAGTTGCCCAGGGCATCATCACAAGGAGGATGGCATTCATTTACTTTTGGTTTATTTGGTATTTTTTCAGTCATTTGTGGAAATAGTGATTAATTTTGATTAATTCACAGCCTATGTTTAATTACATTTAAAAATTAGTTGTTTGACATCCCCAATTATAATAAATGTCTACAGATGAGATCAAACAAAACAGATGAGAATTGCCCTTAAAGAGCAAGTCACCCCCAAATCAACTTTTTTTTTGCTGATAAAACGTGGAAGTAACGTGCATATTTGAGTCACTTCTGTTTTATGTTTCTAACAGAAACTTGTAGTTTTTCACATTTGAATGTAATATTGTCAAAAGTTTATTTTTGGCTCCATGGAGAGCTAAGTCCAACCAGCCATTCCTCCCCATCCCCGCATATTTCTCTCCTCCTGCTCCCTCACATCATCACACAAACATACACATAGGACCTTGGGGGGTGGGCATATCAGGGAGTGTGGGTATGGACCCCATTTCCGCATTCCTGTGGAAACCTGCCCCCCAATTTTATTTGCACCTTATACACTTCCACTGACGACATTCCACACAAACACACACTTAGGGCCTTGGGAGTGAGCACATTCAACGGCATTTGGCAGGGGGATATGTCAGCCTCCTCCAGGGTGCCGGTGGCCACTTTCAATTTTAAAGTGCACTTAGACACAGAGGGCTGTGGGGCGGTGTGGTGGCATCAACTGGCATGGGCAGACAATGCCCGCACTGCCCGCTCACCACAGCCGTGGAATACACCTCATCAACGAACACTAACTATATTGGAGCAGGCGGAGGGAGACTAGGGGTCTTAGCACACCTCTGTTGTTGCTTGGCTTCCTGGGGCTGGAGGCTAGGAGGGAGATCTGGCTGTCTGGTTGGGGTCTGGGGTGGTGGGTTGCTGTGCTCAGCATTGGGCGGGGGAGTCTGTTCATCAGCACCCCAGCAGAAAGGGTCAAACTCTAGTAATGGTTGTACCCAATGTGCAGCAGTACCAGGGCTAGGGTGTGTATAGGGAGCATAAGTGGGTGTCTGGCGTGCATTTTTAGAAGTCTTTGGTTGTATGTGTATGTGTGAGCATGAGAGGGAGTGTATTACTGTGTTTGTGTATGACTGTATATGTCAGGTGGGGCCTTTGACTTCTCCCTTCTCCTGGGACTTGTTTTGATGATATAGATCTTCGTCTCCCCTCTCCCTGTCACACCTGGTGTGGAGTGTGGTACCTTGGTCTGCCTGAATGTTCGTGGCTCCCGGGTCAGGGGGTTTAAGATTTTTGGCATCTGTCTGATCAATCCCGGTGGCTGCCTGGTGGGGTCTGGGTCCCTGGGCTCTGCTGGGTCCCAGGCGGGGGGTGGGAGGCTGCAGGTGGGCTTGCCTCTGATATCTCCCGGGTCTCTGCCAGCTGCTGCTTGTGGTCCCCCCGGGGCGATCCTCTGCACCTCTCAAGGGGGCGGGGGCCTTTCTGGTTGCAGTCTCCTTGGGGTTTTTGTGTTCTGGGGCAGCGGCTGGATCTCTGGGACTTGGAGCTCTCTTAGTCTCCTACACATCTTTGAGGGCAGGTCTGTGGCCCCTCACACTCTCTATTGGACACTCCTATAGAGAAACCTTACATAAACAAGCGTGTGTACACATACAGGTGCTCACATAAGTATGGACTTGGGCACGTTCAACACATGTCTTAAGGCTGTCGTTGCCACTAAATGCACTATGATTTATTATTATCGTGTGATTGTATTTCTTCAAGTTGACACAGTGATAGCTTGCTCCTGTTGTGTTGTTGTGTGTCCCATTTTTTTTTCTCTTTCTCTTTCTGCAGGCCTAGAAGCAGACTCTTGTTCATTGTTTATTTTTGTGGACCCCCCCCCCCCCCCCCCCCCCCCTCTTTTCTGCCCCTACCTTTTGTCTTTGTCTTTATCTTTCGCCTCTGATTCAGTGTCTGGTCGGAATTACAAAGTATTCAAAAACAATAAATTTTAAAGTATCAGACGTGACATTAGCTTTGATGCTCCAATTGAGAGTAAATCTGTAAGGCTTTTCACCAACATTCAGACATCAATTCTGTTTGCTTCACAGCCAGACAGGACACGGGGGAAAAATAATGATAAAAATAATGTAATATTGTGAGTTTATTTTTAGTCATGCCAAGTTTAATGTAGAAATAAGTAGGGCTGCAACTAACGATTATTTTCATAATCGATTAATCTGTCGATTATTTTTTCGATTAATCGGTTTGTTATTGTTTAGCTATTTAACCTATACAAGTGATGGATGCATTTCAGTTAAGAAAAAAAAACATAAGAGAATTGTGCAGTTGACTGCAATCTATTTTATTGCACATGAACACAGTCAGCAGTATAAAATGAGCTAAACAGTGCAAAATATCAGTCCAGAATAATTTTTTAGCATTAGCTGGAAGCCTGCTCCTTCCACCATGGATAGTGGCCTCATGTCTTTTACCAGCATGTTTAGAATAGAGTTTGTAAGTGGTATGAATTGCTGGGGGGTGAGTGTCTCTTTTCCCATGTAGTTGTCCATCGTTGCTTGTTTTTTTTCTGCATAAGAAACACAAATAGACTGAAATAAGTACACATATAAAATAAAGCAGCACACACACTACAACACTAAATCAATATTATATTATTTGAATTAATTAACAATATACAGTGATCATTTATTTTGAGGGTTACGTTCTACAAAATAGCCCGCAACAGGAGATATTCAGAAAAAAAGTCTAATTTTTTTACTATTAAAAAGCTCTAAGTAAGAAGCTCATGAGGTTTTTACTTTGAGTCGGGAGTGTTTAAATTAGCTAGAAAAATGTGAAAAATGATTATTTTGTGTAATACTGTTTAAGAAACATGATAAAAATGTGTTGTGAGGCGTTTTACAGCGTTAGATAGTAAAACAGCCTTTTAATAGTAAAAAAATGACTTTTTCTGAATTTCTCCTGTATTTAAAAATTGAAAGCGTACAACTATGCCGCGTTATATTCACCTGGACACAGCTCGTCTGTATATTTTTCACCGCGGAGTTGTCCTTTTTTGAATGAGAAACATAGTTATGGGTTTGTGCCGTTTTTCTCTTAACTAGAACATTCTTATAAACAGACGTGCTAAATTTGGCAAGCGCATGATTCACAACACGGAGGAGATTCACGATTGCATCTAGTCAATCAGAAGTAGAACACCGTAGACTGACGCGGCAAAAAAACATGTTTAACATCCACTATAACGAACTCAGCTAAAACACTAAGTCCAGCTTGTTTATTTTCTGTTACTTACCGGGCTGGCTCTTCCAAATGACGGCTCACTTGACCGCGGTGCTCTTCCTCAGCCCCCACGTTTTCGTCTCAAATGTTCACTTAGGGACGTCGTGCTTCCGTGCCATGCTAGATGGTTTTTGCATATTTTGCCTTTTCAATGCATCTAGTGAAGTGCTCCCATACTCGTGAGGTTTTTGTCCGGGGTTTCTCTAAAATTTTGTCGCTTCTATTTTTCTTCCGTATTTCCTCTTGTTCCGCCATCTCTCACAGCAAGATGAGCGTCAGTAACGTGATACGTCATGAAAACCGAGGGCACTCATTGGCTCATTTCTTCTTCTACGGCTGCACTGGTAGATCAGTGGCTCATTACTGCCACACACTGGCGGCAAATTTAACAGCTTGTAACCGATGTCAGATTGTGGTAAAAATAGACTTTATGCGGTAAAATATGATTATTAAACAACTAATCGATGACTAAAAAAGTTGTTAACTATTTTAATAATCGATTATAATCGATTAAATCGATTAGTTGTTTCAGCTCTAGAAATAAGTAAAACGTTATTAAAAGTTACAGTACTTAAAGCTAAACTGAGATTATGTAAAATAATGTAATACCATAAGACTAGTCAAAAGTTTGACTGATAACAATGGGGTGTTTAAACTATTAAAGTTGCATTGTTTAAGACTAAATTAAAGAATATAACTGCATTGTATGAAATATTCAGTCACAACATAAATAAATGTTTTTAGTACATGTATTGCTGACTATTTGAATTAGTCTAAGCATTCTATATAGAATACAGCAGGTGTATGTGCACTTTCATAAGTGCAAGTAAGTTCTAATAAAACTTGACATTTAATAACTTTTGATATTTTTAAACAATAGTTTGAAATTTAGCATGATTTAAAACTTCATTCTTGGGGTTTGATTAGATATTTTCATTTTTATATTATGATTCCTTGTTCAGGGGTTATCAGTAAAGTAGTAATAATTATGTTAATGTATTTTGTCATAGATGTCACACACAAGTTATTAATTTTTATCCTTTAAATTAGATTATACTGTGATTAACTCATTTAAAGAGCAAGTCGCCCCCAAATCAACTTTTTTTTCTGATAAACTATATAAATGTGTGTCTAATCGTGCTACAGAAATGTGTAGTCAATAGTTTTGCACTTTAGTGCATTTTAGTTAAGATTTTAATTTTCTGCCTAAAACTGTCAGTGTTGTGCCGTTGTCAGATAAAAACTTTGCACTACATTTGAATTTAAATCTGTCATAGCTATTGACTAAGAGGTACACAGTGATGTTAGATGGTACATTATGATGTCACAATGTTGTGAGTGTGTGTATTTGTTTGTGGCTCTACCCTCTCGGTCTGCTAGACAACAGCATTTGTTGCATTTTTCAAACAGGAAGTGGGAGTTGAGTAAGAATGTGGTCATGGGTGACTTGCTCTTTAAAATTTAGGATTGTTTTTACAATTATATAAGTTTAGCAAATTGATGGTTGCATAAGATTCTAAAAGGTGTGAGTGAGTGAGTCTTTACTGAGTACAGACACATGATAACATAGAAATCCATAGTGTTTGTGTTGCTTTTCTAATAGTGCTGTCATGTATTTTATGTTTCAAACAGCATTCACTATGCCTGGCAAAGAGTCCAAACGCAAGGCGGATGCTGCTAAGCGCAGCAATCGTCCAGCTCCGCCTATTCGTATCGGGATTCCAAGGCACAGCAACGATGATGTTAATTGTATGTATTGCAGTATTATTTCGCAGAACAAATTATTGTAGTGTTTTGCAATTCATTTAATCTATACTGTATTTATGTAAGATGAAAAATTATTAGCCAAAAAGATTGTTAATTTTTGTGTGTGTGTTTTTGTTTTGTAAGTTTCGGGAACTGGCTTTCGTCATCGAGTTCGTCGTTGGCCGACCAGTGTGATTTCTAACAAAGCTCACAAGTTGGTCCTTCCAGATGAGATTCCTGACAAGAAAGTGAGTGTAATGTCCACAAATATTTAAAATATAAATATAGATTTTCTTCCAATACTATCTAGCAGTACTCTGGGATTCTAAGGAAACGGTCAGATGGTGTTGAAGCCGCTATCAGTTACAGTGCTGCAAACAGACTGAATCGGCTTCTTTTTGACTTGTGCCTAAAGTCTACCAACTTTTGAATCTTAATAGAAAACCTAGTTGTGTTCATCTTCCTTTTTAGTCGGTGCTTCTCAATCTGTGATTTAGAACTTAAGCTGCTCAGTTATTTTTACATATCTTTATTTGTATTTATGTTGGTGTATTCTGTGATTAGTTTTACCATTTCATGTTTTATTGTTTGTAAACTTTGACTGTTTAATGTTATCTCTTTCTTCCTGAAAAGCATATTGCATTGCCGTTTGTATGAAATGTCCTAAAAATACAGATTGTTTTATATTGAAATGTATTTATTAATTTTTCTAATTTAGTTCGTCCTACTTGTTGGGGACTCCCACTTGAGGTCCGTGGCAGATGGCATAGTCCCTATGCCGGTTGGCGGCCTTGCTTTTGGTGTGATGTCCACTCCAGGAGCTTGTGCAGATCTTCTGCGCCTTGAGGTTTCACAGGCTGTGTTACCTCGGGAGCCTGATGCTGTTTGCGTCATGGCTCCTTCTAACAACCTTACGGCCAGCAGAACAGTTGAAGAGGCAGGGGATGCATTTGAGCGGTACCTTTTGGCTGTTCTCAGTCGCTGGCCTAAGGTGAGAGGCTGATTTGTGTAATTTTGAAGGTATGAGAGATGACAGTAAACGTACATCCTTAAAAATAATTGTATTCTTTCTTCTTCTTTTTTTTTTTTAGGTTTTCTGTACCTCCATGATTCCCCGTTTAGTTGGATCCTGGGAGCGTCAAGACCTGTTTCAGCAGGAGTACCACCGCAGATCGGCTAAGCTAGGTAAGTTGTAACATAATTAGATGAAAAGGTAGTATTAATGACGAGCGTTATTGCTATTTACTCTTAGGTATCAAACAATCACAATTTATAACTTTACATGAATTTTTTCCTTCTGCTTCGAAGGTGTAAGTTATGTGCCGATCCACGATCACCTACCCAGGTACCGTCTTAAACTGTGGTGCCGTGATGGTGTAAGTATATTGCTTGGAAGAAAACAAGGTAAAGGTTCTTAAATTTGAGATGATAAATTTGTATTTTCTTTTGTTGGTTTTTGTGGTTGCAGATCCACCTCAGTGATAATCACGGGATGCCTATACTCACGCAACTGATGTGGAATGCCTCCTATCAGTTCTTGGAGACACACGCACCAAAGCCACTGGTGCAGCACCAGGTGTCTCGTCCGCAGAAAGCGAGTATTGTGCCCCGTGTGGTTGTGAAGGGTGTGGAACGCATTCCACCTCCACGCCCTTCCGAATGGACGTTTGTGAGACCTAGCGGGAAGGTGAGAGACTTTATAAAGTATAAATATTGTAAAATGTTTATAATTTTAGGCAACTGGGCCACTAATGCTTCTAAATGTGTTTTCTTTTATTTACCATTGCAGAGGAACCATTCAGGGGAATTTGAAAAGACTTCTAATCCCCCCAAGAAACGAGTGGTTGTTTCTAAGGTTTGTGAATGTTTTTGATTTATCTTTTTCAAAGAATTTTGATTAGATGATAATATGTGGTGAATTTTCTTCAATAGGCTGATGACACTTCAGTGGCCTTGAAGGAGTGTTTCATCCCCCTGAATCCCGTTAGGTTCTCACCTTCAATTCTGGCTGCCATGGACACGATTGCTCCAGCGGATGGTCCCACAGACATACAGGTAGCTTTAAAGCAAAAGTTTATTATTATCTTTTAATGTAAAGTGTAATGTTGTTCCTGATGCTTGTAATATGGGCTGTCTATATGGTATATTTGAAAGTATTGTACTTAACCGTATTATTTTCTGTTTGTAGACTACATCTGTGCGACATTTTAAGAAAGCAGCTAGGCGTGTCCAGCAGGAGGTTGATTCATTAAATTATCTGGCATACAAATACATTGTGGTGTTATTTTTCTTCACCGTTGTTGTTCTTGAATTATAGGTTGCATCCACACCTTGCATAAATCCTCTTGCAGACGTGGAGTCTGTTCGGTCTAGGAAGGAGGTAAGAAGCGTGTGTTTCAAATATAAAAACTAAACTAATCTTTATTGACGATGTATTGACCTTTAATTTCTTCTGTATAGGTGTTGGACTGTGACCAGCTGCCTTCACCCCACCACCAGGAGGCATCTGGTTGTCCTGGGTCTGTCTCTGGGTCTGGTGCTGCCCATGCTGTGATGCTTCCTTCTGGCCATCACGCGCATGCATCACCCAGAGGTCAGTCTGCTAACACCCCTTCTTGCGTGCGTTCACAGGTTTTGCTGTCGTCTCTAGTTCCAGAGACAACTGTTCAAAATCCTGTTGTAAATAATTTTGATAAAGATAAAACAATTTTACACAACGATGATACAATTTTAGACTCTGTCCTAGGATCATTTCATCAGGGCGATGGGCGTTTTAAATATGGGGGAGTTCAGTGTGCAGCTATTACTGTTGTTGCTTTAACAAAGCACAAACAGAAGAGTGTTTTCTCTTGGGATTTTGCCGTGTTGGATAACGTTGTTGAGTTAGGAGATGAGCTGTACACAGATTTGCGCGACAACAAGAAGATTAGAGGTGGACATGAGTTTCTCTCAGTTCCAGACTTGCCAAAGGAAATTGACATGGAAGAACAGAGTTTTAAGCTTGTTTACGGGGATTTCGTTTTAGGAGATGTAGATGTAGCTGAAGGCGAGTTAATAGATGCTGGTGTGTACACTCCTCTCCTGGATGGATTGAAGAAGATGTGCACACAGCATGAAACTTGCATTATGACATTAAGTGGCAATACTTGTGCTATCATTTGTGATAATGGACGTTATGCTGTAGTAGATTCCCATGCACGCTCCGCAGACGGCATGGTAGACCCGACAGGACAGAGTGTAGTTCTGTACTTTGCGAACCTTGATAATGTTTTTCAACATTTTCAGAGGTTTGCTAGTGAACTGGTGGGATCTCAGAGGTTATTTGAGATCACTGGAGTGGATATTGTTCAGATGGACACATTTAAAAATGTATCTGAACAAACAGATGACATTGACATAAACCCTGTTATTTTTGTTAGTGATGCTAGTACTAAAGATTTTCATTTCAGTCCCGTTTCTACAGACGTGTCACAGGCGTTGAGTAAATGTCTGAATGTGAAGTCTGCGATGGTTGAATCATCTCCTGTTCCTTCATGTAGCACAAGTGTGGTTAACGTTGATGATGACAACAGTATTGTAAACAATGATACAATTTTAAGCTCACTTACAGGATCATTTAATCAGAGCGATGGGCGTTTTAAATATGGCGGCGTTCAGTGTGCAGCAATAAGTCTTGTTGCTTTAACTAAGCACAACATACAAAGTGTTTTTTCATGGGATTTTGCCATGTTAGACAATGTTGTTGTTTTGGGCGATGAGCTGTACACATATTTACGCGACAGTGATCTAATAAGTGCTGGGAATGTGTTTCTTTCTGTCCCAGAATTGCCAAAGGAAATCGTTATGGGCAAACAGACTTTTAAGTTGAATTATGGGGATTTTGTTTGTGGAAATGTAGATATCGTTGAAGGTGAACTTATAAATGCTGGAGTGTACACTAGTCTTTGGGATGGTTTGAATAAGATGTGTACACAATATGAAACATGTTTTTTTACACTTGGAGACAATACTTGCGCTTTACTTAGTGAAGATGGACATTATGCTATTGTTGATTCACATGCTCGTTCTGCAGATGGAATGGTTGACCCAAACGGTAAAAGTGTAATTCTATACTTTAGTAGTCTTGACAATGTTTTTAGATATATTCAGAGGTTTGCCAGTAAATTAAATGGAACTCAGAAGTTGTTTGAGATCAGTGGAGTTAACATTGTTCAGATGGACACATTGAAAAATGTTTCTGAACAAACAAGGTTGCCTCCAACAACAGGAAAGGAGGTTAGACGTGAAGAGTCATTTCCACTCTCGGAACCAAAAAAGTTACAGACAGATGACACCGACATAAACCCTGTTGTTTTTGTTAGTGATGTTAGCACTAAAGATTTTCATTTCAATCCCATTTCTAGGGACGTGTCTCAGGTGTTGAGTAAACGTCTGAATGTGAAGTCGGCAATGGTTGATGAATCATCTCGTGTGATTGGTGAATTGGGTGTACCATGCATGAATAAATCAATAGTGGCAGATGGAAACTGTTTTTTTAGAGCACTTAGTCAAGCTGTTTCTAGCACCCAGGAATATCATAGAAAAATCCGTCTTGCTTTGGTCAATCAGTTAAAAAAGAATCCTCAAATGTATCAAACCATTTTAAGAAGTGAGTATTCCTCGGTTTCGCAGTACCTCACCTCATCCAGGATGCAGTACGTTGGCAGTTGGGCAACTGAAGTGGAAATTCAAGCTGCTGCTGATTATTTTGGCATTAACATATTTACTTACTGTAATGATAAATGGCTTAAATATACATCCAACAGCATCTTTTCACAGCAGGCTGTTTATTTGGAGAATAGTAATGGTAACCATTATGAGACAGTGGTTTGTGTAAAACAACCTAACACAGGAACTTGTTATGGTTATTGTGGCCCTGTAAATAGTATTTCTGGTAGATACAATACTCGACATGCCCCTACAGAACATTTAAAATGTTCAGTAGAAACTGTCACACTTGAGCCGAGTTCCATAGATACAGATGGTGTTAGTGTTGTTCATTCAAATACTTTATTTACTCCTCTGTCTGCAGATTTTTGTAAAACTCTGTGTAATCGGTTGAAAATAGATTTTGAGAAACACAATTCTCAAGAATCCACATCAGGTGGGCCTTTAGGAAATGTGTGTAAGACAGAACATATTATTGAAGATGGTAACAGCTTTTTTAGAGCTGTAGCTCATGTAATTAGTGGGTCACAGAAGGGCCATCGTAAGATCAGACTCGCTGTTGTTTCTTATATGTCCAAAAATGCTGAAGAGTGTGAGAAGTTTCTGGGAAAAGAACATGCTTCTGTGTCAGAATACATAAAAAAGTCACAGATGAATTATGTCGGTCACTGTGCTACAGAAGTAGAATTTAGAACTACAGCCAGTGTTTTAGGATTACCCATATTTATCAACAATGGCACAGAGTGGGTCAAATATAGTTCTCAAACTGGTAATTTTGTCACTGAGGGACTATATTTGTCAAACTGTAATAATCATTTTGAGCCCGTTCTTTGCATAAGACTGGGTAATAAAGAAACATGTTTTGGGTTTTGTAAAGTTGATTCTTTGTCAGACAACGTAAACAAATGCAGAAGGTCAACTATGATGCAGTTAAATGCTGACCCAAACATGGAAAAGATGAAAACGAGGAAGAGTTTTTCCAGATATTTAAAGCAAAATAAGGCTTATGCAGAAGCCTCTAATTATAAAATGGTAAGTGCAGTTAAAGACAAAATAAAAAGTCAGAAGAAAAATGCATACAAGCAAAATGTTGCTTACAGAATGAAAAAGATCAGCACAACCAAATTTAAATACAAATTTCTTCTTGCACATAAAGAGAAAGTTAAACATAAGGCCAAACATAGGTCCATTTTCAACTATCATCATAACTTGGCTCATCGAGAAAAGCTTAAACAGATGAGTGTGTATAAGTACCATCAGAATTTGGCTCATCGAGAGAAGCTTAAACAGATGAGTGTGTATAAGTACCATCAGAATTTGGCTCATCGAGAGAAGCTTAAACAGATGAGTGTGTATAAGTACCATCAGAATTTGGCTCATCGAGAGAAGCTTAAACAGATGAGTGTGTATAAGTACCATCAGAATTTGGCTCATCGAGAGAAGCTTAAACAGATGAGTGTGTATAAGTACCATCAGAATTTGGCTCATCGAGAGAAGCTTAAACAGATGAGTGTGTATAAGTACCATCAGAATTTGGCTCATCGAGAGAAGCTTAAACAGATGAGTGTGTATAAGTACCATCAGAATTTGGCTCATCGAGAGAAGCTTAAACAGATGAGTGTGTATAAGTACCATCAGAATTTGGCTCATCGTGACAAAAAGAAAAAAATGAGTAAAAAGAAATACCTTAATATTGAGCATAAAACATGTTTAATAGAAAGTATCCAGCATAAAAGAAAGCTGATTAAAGTAAATTCACAAAACTTTAATTTTGTTGTAGATCAATTTTTAGAGAAGGTGAAAGATGGACCTGATTTTGTGTGTTGTGTCTGCTCACGGTTGTTGTTTAGACATCAGGTCTTAAATTGTAATCAAGAATACTATAGAAAAACCAAAGAAATGTCACTTATAGCAGATAAATGTATAAGTGACAATCATCTACACAAATGCAATGATGCCTGTAGATTACCTTGCAAATTGAATGTATGTAGAAATAAATTGTACATCTGTTACACGTGTCATTATAAAATTAGTAAATGTCAGATACCCCCAGAAAGTTCAATCAACAAGCTGACTGTTGATCCCATCCCACCTCAACTGGCATGTTTAAATACATTAGAGCAACATTTAATAGCGATGAATATACCCTTTATGAAAATGTTGGCTCTGCCCAAAGGTGGTCAGAATGGGATTCATGGTCCTGTCACTTGTGTACCTGCAAATATAGTGGAAACGTGCAGTTTGTTACCACGTACCAACATGGAGGGGTCTTTATTACCTGTAAAGTTAAAACGTAAATTGACATATAAAGGACACTATGATTATCAGTATGTTGACACACAGCATGTTCAGGAAGCTCTTCAGTATTTAAAACGTCATAATTTGCATTATAAAGATGTAGAGTTCAATGAGTCTTGGATTAACACATTTACTCAGGAAGATGAGTCGTCTGTCCTGCAAGAAGATAGTGGTTCTGGTAAAGATGAAGATACTTGCATAGATGGAGAAGATGAGTTATTGCATGACAGACAACAGCACTGTATGTTTCAGGACACCTGTCTCATGCCAGTAGATATAGGACAAGAAGCATTGGATCAGTATGTGGATAACATATTAAATGTAGCTCCAGGTGAAGGTAACAATCCAGTGAAATTGCTTTCAGATTTTACAAATGAAGCAAAAAGTTTTCCCGTCTTGTTTCCTTCAGGATCGAATACTTACTATGAAAGCAGACAATTTCGTTTGACTCTGAATCGGTATTTCAACAACAGGCTTCTTCATGTCGATGGTCGATTTGCTAACAATGTAGAATATATATTTTTTGCACAGTACATGTCTGAACTAGAGCAAGTTGTGTCCAAAGTTTCTATAGCTTTGCGTAAAGGTAAAAGCGGTGAATCTCAGAAGTTGGGTAATTTGATACAGGATCAGGATTCTTTAAATAAGCTGTTAGAGTTTGATGATGGCTACCGGTTTCTTAAACCAATTCGCGGCACACCTGCTTTTTGGCAATCTGCTCAGCGAGACCTCCTGGCTTGTGTAAAAATGTTGGGCAAACCTACTTGGTTCGCATCATTTTCGTCGGCAGATTTGAGGTGGACTAACCTTCTTTATAGTATTTTGAAACAGGAAGGCAGAACAGAGACAGTGGAACAGCTGGAGTGGGCTGATAAATGTGAGCTCCTACGTAGGAATCCAGTAACTGCTGCCCGAATGTTTGATTTTAGATGGCATGTCTTCTTAAGGGAAGTGCTAATGTCTCCTGCCAATCCCATTGGTAAAATAGAAGATTATTATTATCGTGTTGAGTTCCAGCAGCGTGGTTCTCCTCACTGTCATTGCCTTTTCTGGGTTTCTGGTGCTCCCATTTTAGATAAGAACACAGATGAGGAGGTCATTGCATTTGTTGATGAATATGTCACATGTGAACTTCCTTCTGAAGACGATTCACTACATGAAGTCGTCTCATCTGTCCAGCAGCACTCCAAACGGCATTCAAAGACTTGTAGAAAGAAAAAAACTGTTTGTCGTTTTAATTTTCCACGGCCTGCATCTGTTAGAACTTTTATTAGTCGTGGTGAAAAGTATCAAGATGCAGTGAAGACTTGCAAGTGTGATAAAACAGATAGCACTGTACAGTGTGCCTGTGCGTCTCAAGATAAAGCTCGTAAACAAGAAATGGACAAAGAAGTAGCAAGTGCCATTTTAACTAAAGTAAAGACTGCTATTTCTAGTGAAGACTGTCCATATAACAGTGTAGAAGGTCTGTTTCAGGGCCTGGGTATCAGTCAGGAACTATTTGAGATGGCATATAAACGATTTTGTCGAAATACACATGTTGTTTTGAAAAGGGAAGTTAATGAAATCTGGATTAATCAGTATAGCAAGTTGCTGTTAAAAGCTTGGAATGCTAATCTTGATATCCAGTATTGCGTCGATGCTTATGCATGCTGTGTATACATAATATCTTACATGTCTAAAAGTGAACGGGAAATTGGCCTTCTGCTTGCTAATTCTCAAAGAGAAGCAGCCAAAGATGGTAATCTTAGTGCTAAAGAGGCCTTGAAGACTCTTGGTAATGTTTATCTTCATAATCGAGATGTTTGTGCGCAGGAAGCAGTCTACAGGCTAACTAACATGCATCTAAAGGAGTGTTCTAGGAAAGTTGTGTTTGTTCCCACTGGTGATAATATAGTGAAAATGAGTTTGCCTATTTCTGTTTTGAGGCAAAAAGCAGCATCACAGGATCTTACTTCAGATGACATGTGGATGACCGGATTAGTTGAACGTTATAAGAAGAGGCCAAATGATGATGTGTTCAATGATATGTGCCTGGCTACGTTTGCATCAGAATATCGTGTTTTGAGTAAAAACGAAAAATGTAGAAACCCTATAAAGTTAAGTAATGATTTAGGATTTGTTACAAAAAGAACTCGGACTAAACCAGCGGTTGTTCGTTACGCGCGTTTCTCTGAAACCAAAGACTCGGAGAAATTTTTTCAAAGCATGTTGCAGTTGTTTTTACCGTACCGCCATGATAGTCAACTTAAGCTTAACTGTGAAACTTTTGAGGAATTTTACAGAACTGGTTTAATTAGATTTTTTGATAGAACAAACCACTCGGTAAAGGCTGTTGTAGATTTAAATCGGAGTAAATTTGAGTTAGAATCTGATCATTTGGATGCTGTGAATAATATAGTCGGTGATGTAATGTTAGAAGATGCATGGTGTGAGTTGTGTCCGGCAGTTGAAATGGAACGTTTAGAGTGTGTTGAAATACTGAAAGAATCAGAACCGACAGTAAGTGACGAGGCAGAAGTAATCCCAGATTTGGCTCCATGTTCAAACCAAACTGCACATTTAGAGAAGAGAAACACGATGAGTAGAGGTGAAGGTCTGGCATTGATTAGGTCTTTAAATGAAAAACAGTTTTCTGTTTTTAATCAAATCAGGCAGTGGTGTGTAGATAAAGTTAATGGTAATAACCCTGAACCACTGCATGTTTTTGTTACAGGTGGGGCAGGCGTTGGGAAAAGTCATTTAATTCGAGCAATCGAGTATGAAACACAGAGATTACTGTCACCAAGCTGTAGACATCCTGATAATGCATGTGTAGTATTGACAGCTCCTACTGGGATTGCAGCATATAATTTAGGTGCAACAACAATCCACACTACACTGTCTATAGGAAAGGATGTGCGCTTACCGTACACTCCTCTGGGTGAAGAAAAACTAAATTCTTTACGTACAAAATATTGTGATTTGCAGCTTCTTATTATTGATGAAATATCAATGGTCGATCATAACCTGTTGTCCTATGTTCATGGTAGATTACGTCAGATTAAACAAACGGGTGACTTTTCACCTTTTGGAAATGTCAGTGTAGTGGCTGTTGGAGATTTCTTCCAGCTACCTCCTGTTAAAGGGAAGCCACTCTATTCTGATGGTGTAGGTAGCAACTTATGGTCAAGCCTATTTAAAGTTGTACAGTTAACTGAAGTCGTTAGACAGAAAGATGCTGTGTTTTCTGGACTGCTAAATAGAATCAGAACTCATACAAAAGGTACACCATTGTTACCTGAGGATTTAAAGGTTTTAAAAACTTGTGAAACAGGTGAGGCAAGCTCAGCATTGCACATATTTGCAACAAATAATCAAGTAAATAATCACAACATCCATCAGTTATGTCACGTTTGTCCTGATTACATATCAATTACAGCCAAAGATTATGTTAATGATAAAAGAACAGGCAAACTGAAGTTGTTGGAAGGGAATCATGCCAGAGCTTCTAATACTAACTTGTCAGAAGTGTTACAGTTGGGTAAGGGTGCGCGTGTAATGTTGTGTAAAAATGTGGATGTCATTGACTGTTTAGTAAACGGAATTTGTGGTACGTTGACGGAAATTGTAATTTTAGAAAATGACACCTTTCCTAAGAAAGTTTATGTTCAGTTTGATGACCATCGTGTCGGCTTGCAGAGGAGGAAAACCTCCCAGTCTCTGTCAGCAAATTTAGCTGGATCTACACCTATTGAACCCGAGGAGGAAAGAGCCACTGTTAAAGGTGGATTACGTCGACAATTTCCTCTTAAATTAGCTTGGGCGGTTACGGTTCATAAAGTTCAGGGACTCACTCTTGAAAACGCCGTTGTTAGTTTTAGGAAAATATTTGCACCAGGTCAAGCATATGTAGCACTTAGCCGTGTAACAAGTCTTTCAGGACTCACAATTCAGGACTTTGATGAAAAACGAATCTATTGTAAAGATGACATTACAGTTGCAGTTAGTAAAATGACCCCTTTTTTGACTCCAAACTCACAGTTCGACAGATTTAACTCTTCTGCATTCACTGTGTTTTTAATGAATGTCCAAAGTCTGAATCGACACGTTAAAGACTTAGCTTTCTGCACACAGCATTTGCAACCTAATTGCATTGCTGTCACAGAAACATGGGTATCTACAGACAGATCAGATGCAGTAAAGATTGATGGCTATAGTTTTTACAACTGCCCACGAGGTTTAGCTTATTCTAGTACTCATGAGTCTTTGATTGCTTTTCAAGAACAACAACATGGTGGTGTTGGCTTTTATACTGCAGATGGTGTGGCATTTAAAATGTTGCAGGCTCCAGACGTCAACTTGGAGAGTTTAGTGTATAGCTTTGTTAACTTACACATAGTACTTGGACTCATTTATCGACCTCCTCTTTATCCCCTTTCTTTGCTTAAAGTAAATTTAACAAAGTTGCTTGATTGGCTGGAGGTACAAAGTGAGACATTAGTACTAATGGGAGATTTTAATGATGACATTTTAAAATCATCAACAATATTAAAACTTTTGACTGACAGAGGCTATGCCCAAATAGTCAAACAGCCAACAACCGAGAAAGGCACTTTAATAGATCATGTCTATGTAAAATCCAACAAGTATATAACAGAAGCATCTGTTATTCCAACATATTTTAGTGATCATCAGGGCATCATGTGTGCTTTGACACGGCTTTAGTTTACCTCAAAAACAGCTTTGATTTGATCAACACCTAACTGCAGAATTTGTAATGTAAAGAGGTGTGTGTGTGTGTGTGTGTGTGTGTGTGTGTGTGTGTGTGTGATCAATTTTAGCTTTAACATTTACTAATATTTTACCTTTCCTTACATGAGCTATCTCTACTGAGAGCAAAATCAATTTCGTTGTACACCTATGCAATGACAATAGAACTTGTATATATATATCATACATATAGTCTGTCAGAACTTTTCTATATGAAATATATTGGATGTATTGTTTTTAAGCAGTGTACATGTTTCGATGCCGTTGAGAGGTTGTGCACACTCAGGACAACTTCGCTGCCGCGTTCCATGTGTGAGAGCAGGGGTTGCAGGACAATGTGCGCACAGGAGTGTAGCAAGATTTTTAAACTGTGGGTGCTGAAATTTCTCTGATGCATATAGGTGAGAAGTGTTACATTCGCAAACTATTTAGCTGTCATGAGAGCAACAAAGGGGGTAATAACGCGCGGAACGTTTTGGTGTCGTGCATTTGTCATGGCACTAGAATTTCGGGAGTGGTGCAGCACCACGCCTATGTAGGAAAAACCACTAACTGCTGCTGTATGCTTCACCATTTCTGTGATTTCAATTTTCATGTCCCCTACTGACCTAGTCAAAATAACATTGAGCCATTTCCCACCTTCTCTCAGCTCTAGAATGCTCTTTCCCCTTGTCCTCTGCATTAATCTCTCACCCACTTTTTAATCAAAACTAAAAACATATCTGTCCAGATCAGCAATTAATACACTAATTTTATTGTTGTAATGTGTGTGAGTGTGTGTGTGTGTGTGTGTGTATATTTCATCTTCTTTGTTGCAAAATGTGTAGGATGTATTGGAAAGCTTTTAAACGTCTTTTTTAACATCAAAATTAAATGTGTTTAAAAGCTTTCTAAAGGTTTCGTTTCCTGCATTAAGATGGTATTTATTGAAATTAAACTGAAAACCTTTAGTACAATTGGCCTCTCATTCATCACTACTGAACGATGTAACAATTCAACACCAAATTATGCATAATGTTAAAAATTAAACTGGTGAATTTCATGCTGTTTTAATGCAGGGTTTGCTTTACCTGGTAAAATGCACAAAAAAGCAAAGGCAATGGTCTGGTCTCCCAATTGTGGGACAGGGTTCAAATCCCTGTGTTGCCCTGCTAATTGTGTTGATCACTGGAAAAAACTATTATTAAAAAAGGCAAAAAACAATAAACTTTAAGTTTAAAATCTTACTTGCTGCAATTCACCCTAGAACTAAACACATTTTGATTTCAAGGACAACTGATAAGATCACACCCATGGGCATTTCTAGCGTGCTTTTGTGAGTACTGAAGCACCCCTAAATTCATCTCTAGCACCCCTAAAGTTTAACATTTATTTATTTATTTTTACAATTTATGGTGATTTTTAAACACATATCTAAAACAATTGGACAAAACATTGTTTTACAAACAATAATATAGCAAATCTCCCCTGTCTCAAAAATGGTTTGATCGTGCTCACCTTTCCAGCCTCTACTCTGAGCCTTCCTGAGTGGCTGACATGCCATTAGGAACCACGTTTCTTTCTGTGGGACAGTCCTGAATTTACATTATTTTTCACAGGTCTTTGAATCTTGCATAAACTGATTGTGAGGCGAAAACCGCAGCTGTCAATCAAACTAGAAGGTGGGACTTTGATGCAGGTCTGGCCACTCACGAACCTCCATACCAAATGGTAACGTCAGAGTGATCCAGGACTCATGGGAGATGAGCGCAGTGGAGAAATGCTGTTACAATAAAGGCTGAAGGGTTAAACTTGCTCAGGTTCTTCAGTAATCACACAGGCTGGTGCTGAAGAAGCCCAATAATAAGCTAACACAGACAAGGTACTTGTGTTCTTTCATAGCCAAACCCTTTTGAATAGCATTTAACAGTTGAAAAATCTAATTAAATCCTTGATTATTTCTTCAGACATGTCTGAGGGAAAAAAATCAGAACATTAAATTTAAATCTTAACTTATGTCAGAGATCAAAGTCACTAATTGTTGTTTTCTCTCCTCTAAATTTCTACTGTAAGAGACTATTTGTCATTTTTGCTAAGCTACCATTCTGTTTTAGTTGTTTAAATTCTGGGGAAAAAAGACAATTTATCAAAAAAGTTTGGATTTATTTCAATGGGATGTTGATATTAGTGGAAAATTGTGAAACAATCAAATCATGCATATGTCATAAAAAGCAAACAATGTTTAAGGAAATGGTGCCATAGTGATTTAACTTGCTGAGCTAGTAAAAACATTTCCAGTGTTGTGTAATAAAATACAACAAGTTTGGCATGTTTGTGACTTTATTTGTTGATGTTGTTCAAGTTTTAATTCATCTAGATGTTGCTGTCTTTAATTCACGTAAAATCTCTTTGAGCTGTTATTGAGCGAATCAAAATCAATGTGGTGTAAATTGGTGTGAATCACACTGTATTATTTATCTAAAGCCAATTGTCTGTACAAATTATTACACTTTTAAAAGTTTGTAGGTAGCACTCTAGAGAAAATGGATCACATGCTTTAACAATTTTCACATAGTTCAGTTAGAGGCTGCATTTATAGGCGCTTACCAACTGCATAAGTTCCTAGACCCATCCCTCCAGTAAGAACATTTTCACATTGCATTCGCACAGCACTCAGAAACGTCTCACTACTAGGGCATACTCTATCTTTACCACACTGGTGATGTGATGTTCAGTCTCGGGCAAGTCGGAGGCTGTTTGTGGAAGTTACAGTCAAACGTAAGGTCACAGCGTCATGCCAGAAATCGCCATGCCCCTGCCTTTCTGAAAAGCTATCAGATCTGAATGGTCATTACAACATCAGGAAGACAGTGCATGACCTTAGTGTCATCTTGACTAAATTAGAGGGAACAAATATGGGCATTTCACCATAAAACAGTTGACTTCCTGTAGTCAGGGGGCGGGGCTTAGGTGATGTCAGCTGTCCACATTGTCACTGTCTTCAGATGTGGTCAGTGATCACACAGACAAAGTATGAAATTGATCTGATCATGCACATGGGAGTTAAGTCAAATAAGGTAATGGCGACTGGTCAAAGTTTGAGGCTTAGCCACGCCCACACCTTTATACTTATTTAAAATCCGACGGTTGAATTTTTTCCTCTATGTCTTAAGAGTATATAGCAGAGGTTTGAAGGTGATCGGTGGAAAGGGCGAGGAGATATCATTCTCCTAATAACGTGTGCGAAAACCACTAAATTGAGTACTTGGACCAAAATGGCCGACCTCCTGTGCGACATTGTGCTTGGCTCCAAGAGACTTTTTTGTAGGTCCTGGTACACTACATTAGTGTGCCAAATTTTGTGATCCTCAGTCAAAGCATGGCTTGGGGCTGACTGTTTTAATGGTCCTAGGGGGCGCTGTTTCAGAAAATAGGCCACGCCCACAAACTTCAGCTGTCCAATTCTATTAGGGGTCAGAGTAGGATCACTCATCAGAACTTGTATGGCGATGTCACAATGACTGAAGAAATGAGAGACAAACGTATTTCCATGTCGTGATGGCGAATTTCGCCATTCTCCCAAAGCCCCGCCTTTATTCGAAACCTGCCAGTACTATAGACCAAGTGACCTCAACTTGTCTGCTGCTATTCGCCACTGTTTGGTGGTGATTGGTTAAAAGGAGTCCAATAGGGAGCTGTGAAAAAAAGAGTGGCGTGGCGACAGGTCAAAGTTTGAGGCTTAGCCACGCCCACACCTTTATACTTATTTAAAATCCGACGGTTGAATTTTTTCATCTATGTCTTAAGAGTATGTAGCCGAAGTGTGAAGGCAATTGGTGAAAAGGGCGACGGAGCATCACTCTCCAAACAACGTGTGCGAAAACCACTAAATTGCGCACTTGGACCAAAATGGCCAACTTCCTGTGCGACAATGCACTTGGCTCCAAGAGACTTTTTTATAGGTCCTGAGACACCACATTAGTGTACCAAATTTCGTAATCCTCAGTCAAAGCATGGCTTGGGGCTGTCAGTTTTAATGGTCCTAGGGGGCGCTATTTCAGAAAATAGACCACGCCCACCGGAATTTCACATCAGATCTTTTGGGGGGCCAGACTAGGATCACTCACAAGAAGCTTCGTGGCGATATCTCTAGAAATGACGAAATGGGAGGCAAACGTAAGGCCTAAGCGGTACGCCTGAATTCGCCGCGCCGCCACAGCCCCGTCTTCTGCAGAAAACTCCCATAAAGTGAAGCCAAGCAACCCCAACTTGTCTTCAGTTACCCGCTACAAATTTGGGGTGATTATTGGAAAGGGCGAATTTTGGAAAATTTCCCAGTAAAACTTGACCTTTTAAGTCCTGAGGGGGCGGGGCTTATGTGACATCATCAATCGACCATTCATTTGTCTTCGGAGGGCGATGACAATTGTCCACAGAACATTTCTTTAACTGTAATTCTTTCATTTATGAAATTATAGCAATTTGAATTTTTTTGGCGAGTGCTCGAACTTTGAGGCCTGGCCCCGCCCCTTCAGTATTTACGAAAAGTCAATTTTATTGTCTCATTTGAATCGTCCATCGCTTCTGTTCGATCTCGCACAATTTTTGAGACGATGGTGCGAAAAATGACCAAACTGTTCAACCAAATATAGACCCTAGAAATGGCCAAAACGGGGTCAAAATGGCCACTTTACTCCAAAATGGCCGACTTCCTGTTTGATATTGACCATGGTTGCAAGAGACTTTTCTGTGCGGACTGTTGAGTACTACAAGTATACCAAATTTCATAACTGTACGATAAACTAAGCTTTATGGAGAGGGGTATTTTTCACTTTCTAGGGGGCGCTGTTCAGTCACTTTTTGACGAACTTTCACATCGCCAGTGAAATACGTAAATTTCACGCACTTTCTATATTGGGCCAGAATTTGGTGACTTTTTGGATATGCTAAGACCCCCTAAAGGCCATTCAAAGACGCGGAAGAAAAAAGAATAATAATAATAATAATAAGAAGAAGAAGAAACGGAGCAGATACAATAGGCCTTCGCAGCTTCACTGCTCGGGCCTAATTAAAGCTGCAAGCAGCGTCGTTCGGCCCTCGCAGCTCCGCGCCGCTCCGGCCTGGCCGGCAGCCCGAGGCACCAGGTTACGTCCGTGGAACAAAAATTTTGACCACCCCGACACCAGAAACAGCTAACGGTCACCTCGTCCGCACCTCACCCTGACTGAGCATCCCCTCTGAGCACACCAAGTTTGGTGCAGTTACGACCTCGTCTGTAGGAGTTATTACAGTTTTAATGTTGTGTAGGGGGTGCTGTGGTGTTATTATACGAATTTCACCAACCATTTGTGTCTCATTGGCTAAAGGGCATGATTGTTGATTGCCATGTTCAGTCTCGTGCAGATGGGAGGCTATTTGTGGAAGTTACGATCAAACGTAAGGTCATGACGTCATGCCAGAAATCGCCATGGCATCAAAGCCCCTCCCTATCTGGAAAGCTATCAGATCTGAATGGTCATTGCAACATCATGAAGACAGTGCCTGACCTTAGTGTCATGTTGACTAAATTAGAGAGGACAAATATGGGCATTTCACCATAAAACAATAGACTTCCTGTTGTCAGGGGGCAGGGCTTAGGTGATGTCACCTGTCCACAATGACGTTGTCTTGAGATTTGGTCATTGATCACACGGACAAAGTTTGATATAGATCTGATCATGCACATTGGAGTTGTTAAGTCAAGTAATGTAATGGCGAAAGGTCAAAGTTTGAGGCTTAGCCACGCCCACACCATTATACTTATTTAAAATCCGACGGTTGAATTTTTTCCCCTTTGTCTTAAGAAAATATAACAGAAGTTTGAAGGTGATCGGTGAAAAGGGCGACGGGGTATCATTGTCCAAACAACGTGTGCGAAAACCACTAAATCGAGAACTTGGACCAAAATGGCCGACTTCCTGTGCGACTTTGCACTTGGCTCCCAGAGACTTTTTTGTAGGTCCTGAGAGACCACATTAGTGTACCAAATTTTGCAATCCTCAGTCAAAGCATGGCTTGGGGCTGACAGTTTTAATGGTCATAGGGGGCGCTATTTCAGAAAATAGGCCACGCCCACAAACTTCAGCCATCCATTTCTATTGGGGGTCAGACTAGGATCACTCACAACAAGTTTCGAGGTGATATCACGATAAATGAAGAAATGAGAGGCAAACGTATTTCCATGGCGTGATGGCGAATTTCGCCATGCTCCCAAAGCCCCGCCTTTTCTAAAAACCTTCCAGTACTGGAGACCAAGTGACCTCAACTTGTCTGCTACTATTTACCAGAGATTACTGGTGATTGGGTAAAATGGGTCCAATAGGGAGCTGTGAAAAAAAGAGTGGCGTGGCGAAAGGTCAAAGTTTGAGGCTTAGCCACGCCCACACCTTTATACTTATTTAAAATCCGACGGTTGAATTTTTTCCTCTATGTCTTAAGAGTATATAGCAGAAGTTTGAAGGCGATTGGTGAAAAGGGCGACGGAGCATCACTCTCCAAACAACGTGTGTGAAAACCACTAAATCGCACACTTGGACCAAAATGGCCGACTTCCTGTGCGACTTTGCACTTGGCTCCAAGAGACTTTTTTGTAGGTCCTTAGACACCACATTAGTGTACCA